CTACGAAGTATGTATATGGGAAAGCCAGCTTCCCAAGGAAAATCAAATAACTGCATGCAAACTCACAATAAATCATATAATTACCTACTCACCGGTAAGTAACTTAAACTTATTCTTGATTATCTATCTACGTGCCATAGTAACCTAATAACTTGTACATCTATGACTCTCTATCTAGTTCTAACGCATTGGAGGATCTACCCTCCCAATTCATCGCCTTGTAATTGATGATAGCAATTAGATTGATCGTGACTCTACCTAGACAGAGTCATTCAAGTATCTAGCCCATTGGATTAAAATAACTATCCCACACTTTTGACAGCATCCAAAAGACAGGGTAGAACTTCCCCCACAAAATATGTAAATTCAGGGTTTAGTTCTTAAATGGATTTCTAAGGAATAAATAGAGATAGCAACAAGAAGCAGACGGGCTAAATAAACAAGATTGAACCAACGAAGAAAAGCAGCGGCCTCGTAAGAAACTCAACATGAGTATAAGAAAAATCAACACACTTTCACGAACGCGAAGTATGTATTCCACGAAATTTAAACGAACCCAGACAAGAAGTATCAATATAAGACGCTAAAATTAGTGAAAACCAAATAAAATTCGAATCAAACCAACGAGGTATGCAAGGAAAGTACAATTCGACATATGCATCTTGATGAGCTTGAAATCCTCGATGTTGATGCCCCTCTCTTTGTCAAGAGGTGCAACCACATCTACCTCTTCGGGGTCCAAGAGCTGTTTACTGCAGAAACAAACAGAATCCAAATTAGAAACAAGGGAAAGAAAATCAAAAATTGCAGCCATGTTTATGCGTTTGATGGTTACTAGTGAGACGAAATCCAGAAATTGGCAGCCATGTTTTCACAGGAGGAGATGACAGTCCTTCCTGAATGTTCTTATCTGAGAATTTATTTCCGCTTGGTTTTGCTTCTTGATAACGGTAACGGACTAAAAGAATTACAACATCGTAAAGTCAAAGACGTAAGGCCCATTCAGTGGCCAGGATCAATTAGGGCACATCAAGATCCAAGGGCCTCAATAGTGGGGCACAAAATAAATTTATAAAAATATTAATTGAGTGATTTGATAAAAAAAAATCTTAAATTGATGCATTATAATTTAATTATCATTTATATTCTAAAATATTCACATATATAAGTTTCTTGGGTATTTTAAATTTCGTAACTTTTAATATAAATATTATATGAAATAATTAGTTGGATAACCCATTATTTTAAACACTTATAAAAATATGTAATAGTCAATGTTGGTTCTCAAACATATATATATATATTATTCATATTAGAATAAATAATATGAATGTTTAAATTAAAAATATTG